TGCCACACTTGTATATTTGCAACACAGTTGAAGGAAGCAAATAACAATTGTCAGATTTGAACATAGAAAACACTTGTATGTTATAACCCTTGTCAGATAATTAATTGAACATAGAAACACTTGTATGTTATAACACTTGTCAGATAAATTTATTGAACTTAGAAAACAAACCATAAAATATACTTACAGTTCTCCAGTTTCGCCAACCATCGCCAACCATGTTGTGAAATTTTCTCCAATACACCTTCATTCGTTGGTACTTACTTTGCAGTTGTGCGACTTTGTAAGGATAGTGAATGGGACACTGCTCCTTGAACTTCGCAAGAATGGTCGCCCATTGATTCGGTGTGAACTTACCGGTTACACGGTTTCCCATCACAACTTCGTCCAACAGAACATTGACAAAAGCAGCTTCATTTTCGGGAGCCATTTGGCGTCTCCTTGACTGCAGTCAGTCGAAGGACCAATACCACCCAAAAATGACATCTGCAATATGGCAAATAAACAAACCAAATACAATGTTCTATGCTATGCTTCACATGTACAAATCAATCGTATTTAATCTGCAATCCGGACAACCAAAAATAAAGGTAACATAATAACAAATGCCATAAGAGGGTGGTTGGAGATTCACAGTTTACACATCATATGTCGGCTACAATGAAGACGACAACAACAACAACAAAAAATATATAAAATTATAAGGTCAGATATAATGCCAATGAACCTCAGATCCAAATTTACCCTAGGGTCCTACCGTAATGTTTTCTTCTTTTTTATTGGGTACCGTCTCTATTTACCCACTCCCAAATTTTGCTATCAAAGGATTGTAACATCAACATAGTAAACTTCAACAAATCAATGGAGGAGAAAAGGAGTATGCCCTACCTTTGTTGGCCGGAGTCTCTTTTTTTTTTCGGAGATGTCACGGAGACGCTACCAGTGCTTTCGGTAGTGTCTTCAGCTGGGAAATCGGTTCTTGCTTCGGCCTCCGCTTCACGTGATATCGGCGGGTGATTTCGTGGAGGGGAGAAATCCATAGATTCAGAGGTGATTATGGACGAATTTATTGAGGCGATTCTCGACTTCTCTGAATTACAGCTAATTCGATTTGAAATGTGGGAAAAAGAAGTCAAAAAGAGAAAGAATCGAAATAAATGGCTGCAGTGGTGTTGGTTTCTTGGGGAGTGGGAAAGGCGGACCGTGTTCTGTTGTTGTTGGGTTTTGTGGGCCATGCACAAGTGGTTTCATAGTGATATCCAATCACAGATCCTACATTAAAAATCAGCTCAATTTTAGTAAAATTTGTGCCCAATTTATAAACAATCGCGGCCTTAAATGTTTTTGAAAAATTATTTTAAATATAAAAAACTTAAAATTCTGAAAAATAAGTAAGATGGTGCTACACCACGTGTCTTGACACATGGATATATTTTTTTTCTTTTAGATTAAGGTTGACATTTGTCAATAAAGGTGCCACTGGAGATTCCCGGCTCCACGTAGACTTAAATGAACCGCTAAATCCTATCACATGCGTGTTTCTGGGCCGTTAATGAATTTTCGACGAGTCAAGGACGTGTTTGTAACCTTTCTAAAAAATAGAAGACTAAATTCAAATCGACTATTCACGAAAAACTAAATGTTCACAAAAGCTAACATGACCCAAAAAAAATAAAAATTAAAAAATTAAAAAAATGCAATTTTCTCTTTTAAATCATTTAAATCACATTAAGAGAAGAAGCCGTCGTCGATATGGCCCATACTCATTTTCCAAATCCCAACGCGATCATTTGACTGCCATTCTCGCCGGTGATCATAAACAACCTCCTCCCCGCCGGAATCTGTTTGTTGTTATCTTCACCAGTGAAATCAAGGTATAATTATTCTCATTTCTACGGTCTCAGCCCCCGAATCACTTGATCCGCCGATTATGTGATCTGAATTTGTAAGGGCGACGCCGGGTCAATTACCGGTGTCTTGTTCTTAATTTTTTTTTTTTTTTTTGTTTATTTCCTTTTTGGAGTGCTGTTTGAATAGATTGGAGTTCTTCCAGGCGGTAGATATGGAGTCGTTAGTGGAGGCCACATCTGGTGCGGTGGGTGCACTGGTCAGCACCACCGTTTTGTATCCTCTCGACACTTGCAAAACCAAGTACCAAGCTGAAAATCGAGCTCATCATCACCAAAAATACAGGTTTATTCCTTTTTTTTTTTTTTGTTCTCTTTTGAGAGTAAAAGGAAGTAGTAATTTTGCATCTTATGTTCAGTAAATCTGCAAGTTTTTCTGAATCGTGCTGCTGATGATGATTATGAGTTCTGGTACAGTGTGTTTTATTGCATCACTCTTTTTCCACATTTTTTTTTGTTCAAAACTTCATTTTCTCGTGTCATATCAAGTACCCGAGGTTATGTTGGAAATGACTGTGTAATTGAATTGTTAAATTGAACTTATGGGCCATCCAAAATCTATGTGAATGCTAAGGAATGGGAAATAGAAATGTAGGGAGGATTGAAGAAAGATAGCCCGTCAGACCTTTAAGAATATAGACATAGATATTTAATCATGTGTTGTGAATGGTTGTAGTAATGAAACTCAGAGAGAGTTACATTTGTGCAACTGAGAACATAATCGGATCCTTTATATACTTAACAAATAAAAATAAATAATCTCGTCACTTGGTTCCATATATATTTGTGCCAATGTTCTGCACAAAGCAACAAATGCATACTGTTCTGATTATTTACTGCAGTAGAGTCTGACCTCCATGTTATCATGTAATCTTCACTATCTCATCATATAAAACTTATGTTTCATCCGTTCTTTTCGATTCTCAAATTCATGTGAAGAAGTCGTTTTTGCTGCCAAGAATACTTTCTTTTCTTCTATTGCAAGGATAAGGTTTCAAGAAAAGCTGATTGGATGAATTTTTCTTATTTTGAACAGGAATATTTCGGATGTCCTTTGGGAAGCGATTTCCAAAGGCCAAGTACTATCACTGTACCAGGGGCTGGGAACGAAGAACTTGCAGTCTTTCATTTCACAGTTTATCTACTTCTATGGATACAGCTTTTTTAAGCGACTTTACTTGAGACAAAGCCGAACAAAGTCTATAAGAACTGCAGCTAACCTAGTCATTGCTGCTGCTGCTGGTGCCTGCACAGCCATCGCTACCCAGGCAAGTCCTATTTCCATCTGATGTTGTGAATGCTACCCTGTTTTGCTTATTGCACATTGAAATTCATTATTTACTTTTTAAGGTTTTTGTAGTTGATCTTGTCATGAAACTGGCAGTTGGTGTGAACCTCTTGTTCTAGGTTGTGAAGTATGCTCTTGATTGTGTTGTTTTGTTGACATCGTAAATTGGAGTTGCACAAGTTAGTCTACCCCAGTATCATGATTCTAGTTTTACAGCCTCTTGATACAGCATCTTCAAGGATGCAAACAAGTGAATTTGGGAAATCCAAAGGGCTGTGGGAGTCTCTCTCTGAGGGCTCGTGGAGTGATGCATTCGATGGTCTAGGAATTTCCCTTCTTCTTACCGCAAACCCTTCCATACAGGTATACACATGCTTTCTCTACAAATTCCAACCTTTTCTAGTGTGAGGAGGATGTTCGTTACAGGTGTCCTTTCCAGATTTTTTTTCCCTTAATTTTTGTTAACTCAGTAAGTTTAATGATAAAATCAGTTGAAATTCTTATTGTAACTATATTGTCATGCAGTACACCGTATTTGATCAGTTGAAAAACAGAATGCTCAAGAGGAAGATTGGGAAACAAAGTGACGATGTGACATCTACCGAAGCTCTTTCTGCATTTTCTGCTTTCGTTTTGGGTGCGGTCTCGAAATGCATCGCTACCTGTTTGACCTACCCAGCTATAAGGTGAAGGTCCATTCCTTCTTATTGCTTTTGTACTATCACAAACAGATAATTGGGGATATATACCCTCATGGATACAATTAAAAAAAA